GCAAAGATAAGGCGCTGTTGGTCCGGGGGGATGCCTTCCTTGTCCTGGATCTTCTGCTTGACGTTGTCGATCGAGTCCGAGGGCTCGACGTCGAGGGTAATGGTCTTGCCGGTGAGGGTCTTGACGAAGATTTGCATGGTTGGATGAGTACTGGAGCTGGCAAAATCGGAAATGAGCGTTCAGATCTTGCGCAGAAAACTGTTTAGACCTACACTCGCTATTGTTCTCGAAAAACCACGTGTTCGACAATCCCAAAGAATACTCAAGCCCAATTGAAATTCTCGAGTTGGTCAAAGTTTTATATCCAGACAGAGTGTAGGTCGTGTCGCAGAATTCCACGTCCTCCAACGTAGGTTCGACCCAAGCCTTCTGTGCGATCAAGGTAGCGCTAGATTGTTCATATCCGCCAGCGAGCAGCTCAATCCCACGGTTTATCAACCGTAACAGCACGAGTACTGTAGAGCGGCAAGCCGTCGATCGTGCAGGCTAACCAACAACTCGCACCTCCAACGGATAAGTGTATCCCATATCCAGTATACAGTATGGAGGTGACCAACTGACAGCATCGTCTGCGTTAACGAGACTGACAACGTAGGACTGGATTTTTCAATTAAAATAGTTTGCCAATGCAATGACACGCCAAGGGTCTAACACTGAAGTAAGTATTCACAAGGAGGCCCAGTGCATTCACACTCGAGGAGTGGCGTGTGGGGTACTACGTACGTACTACAATAGTTGCGGCGGGGTGGAGGCGGTTCATCGTAATGGCTTTGTGGAGGATTTGGTACTACCAGCAGTACAGTGTGATATTTCGTAGCATGCATGAGTGTTTTCTCGAAAGTGCCGCCGAGTGCGTTGATTAGCGAGGCCACCCTCACAACTGAAGATAGGATATTTTTCGTCGAAAATAGATAACCTTTGTATCCAACGACATTCAAAAATAGATTATTTACGACAAATTATCGAAATTATTATTGTTACTACGGTAGTACAATAATCCTTCAAAGTAATACTATCTTGAGCGCATCGTCAGTCGCTCAAGTCTTTGGTGGATTGAAGCGGCGACTCGCCCGCCTTGAAGTCATTGACGGACGCTCAGTAGGAGGAACATCGACAAATCAATATATTATTACAAGGATTGCCTATTTAATGGCTTTCACATTGAAGCGAAGGATGATTGTTTGTGGATGAGTCCTGTGTAAGACTCATCCACAAACAATCACAATGTCAGTTGCAGCCTGACTGACCTCCACGGCGGCGGCTATTTGGACCACAGTTCTTACCCAGTGTTGTTATAAAAAGTAGGTGGGGTGTGGAGGAATATATAGTATAGCTATAACGTTAGCCTTAAGTGGACAGCTAATTAAGCAAGGTCTTAGTGGTGTTGCCCAGCGTCCGACTTGGACGGACTGAGCTTGATTTCGTCCATGTTCACATCCGACGGATGGATCGGGGCGGCGCTGGTCGTTCGGTCCATCGACGTCATCGGGTCTTCAATCGTCACGAGGTTGTCCAAGTACGTCTTGGGGCGCAAAAACGACGTCGCGCCTAACAATCTCAAGTTATAACACTACTAAACATATCACTTGTTATTACTGTACCAATGACAATGTCGCGCTTTTCTTTGTCACGGAGTTCGTACACACTGCGCAACTGCAACCACGTTACTGTGGTATTTCATGTCGCGAATTCAAATATACCTCGGAATATGTAGCCCCCCCAGCCACAAACACAATCAACTTCTCGCCCACAAACGCCGCATCCTTGCCCTACAATATCCAAAATATCCCCCATTCCATCGTCAGCATACACACACTTGAACTTCCCACGCTCGCTCGTACCCCAGTAGGCGACTCCCCGCCCTTGTTGAACTTGGCCGCCACTTTCCTGCGGATCAAGTGACTATTGGATCGGATTATTATGTCATGCAATGCCGTACTTGCGCATGGACACGGGCTCCTTCTTCGACGTCGGCGAGTTCGACCCCGACGGGGGACTGATGACATAGGGAAACTCGGTGGCGTCGAGGGTCTTCTTAAGGATCTTCTCCATCCACCCCTTCAGTTTCGGCTCGTAGCGGGACGTGGCGTACTCGGACGACGTCGCTTTCTTGGCCGCGGTTGTCAGGTCGTCCGTGGTCAGCGCGTGGCCCGTGGCGTTGGCCACGACGGAAATCTTGGACATGAACACTCCTAGGTATTTCATGTTTTGAAGCGCCTTGTCCGTGATGGCGGGGAGGTTGGCCAGCTGAAACAACTTTTTGCGCTCGACGTCTTTCACCGCGTCCTACCAACCACAACCTCACGTCAAATGGTGACCGAGTTTCACGATCAAAAGATACACACGTTTGTGATGACAAAGATCGCGAGGAGCCGCGCCTTGTCTGAATTCGGGACCTTCGGGTCGCGCAGCAAGTCTTCCATGTCCTTCATCACTTTCGGCAGCTTGATCTTCTTGCCCGTCTCGTCCACGCCCGTGGCCATGCTCTGCTCCAGCGTCGACACACCGAGCAGGTCGGTCTTGGTGAACACGTCCAGCGTCTTGCCCGCCAAGTACAAATGCTGCGACAGCTTGCTCAGTGTGTCGCGGAATTCGGGCAATTCGCGAAGGGCCGCGGCCAGCTGCGCCACGTCTGGAGCCTTCCCGCCTTTGCCTGTCAGCGACGTGCCGGCGTTCGACGCAGACAGCGCCGCCATGCGTTGTCCGATGTCCTGACTCACTTCCTACAGTTCCAGGGTCAGTTCTTGCCTCTCAATATGATGACAACAAGTGATACGGACGGCAATATGCGTGTGGCGAAGTTCACACCACAGCGGATCGTTCTCGTTCAATAGGGCTTGCTTGGTGACGGTGCCGTTGGCCGTGTCCGCGGGGTACGAAATCGCGTCGCCGTCGAGGCCATTGCCGTCCAAGAGGTCGTACACCATCGCTTGGTACGTGCATTCGTGCATGAGCGGGGACATTTGATCCTGTGACCGCTCCATGAAGAGAAGCGTGGACCGCTGGGGGCAATAGGCAAACGCGGAGTTACCGGCCACGTAGTCGTTCATTTTCGTTTGAAAGAGCCGCGCGAGAGTCTCCATTTTGTGCTGGCCGGCGCGGAATCGGACGTACGGGTACTCGTCCAATGTGGCGCAAAGAGTCACGAGTTTGGCGCTGATGGATTGGAGAATCGGGTCCACGGTGGACGGGTTCGAGAGCGGCGAGTACAGCGTGTGCATGGCATGCGGCATGTCTAGCGAGAACGCCGCTTGCTCGATGGCGAGGTAGTCCAGGTTGACTTCTTTCAGCGTCTTGACGCGGGAAAGAAGAGATGGACACGTCTTGAGCTTGGCCAGCACGGCGCCGTCGATGCGGGAATTGAAGTACAAGTGCACGGCGCCGTACATGGGGGTCTCGGCCTTGGAGAAGTCGGCTACAACTTTGTCGAGGGACGTTGCGACAGGGGAAATGAAGTAGATGACCGCCATTTCGGGGAAAGGCTGACGTGCAAGTTCGAGCCGCTCAACGATGGACACGCCGCGTTCTGTCAAGTCGGTCATTCGAATCACAGTGTTGGCCAGGTGGGTCGTGGTGTCGTCAAGGACAAGCACCACCCATCCGTGGGAAGCCAAGCTCGTCTGCTTGATCATCTTGTCCAGAAGGTTATGCTGCACAAGCGTGCGGAGGTTGTGCGAAGCCGTTGATTCCTTGCTCATGGTGGTCAAGTGCAGGTGCAGAAGTGCTCGAGTCATCGTCGGAGTATTTCGGGCGTCGTTTCGAAACCGTCGAGTGAAATGCCATCTCGGCGTTTCATTGGTCAAATTCATCTCAATTTTCGAGGCGTGGCGATAATATAAATGGACGAGGCATCGCTTCTTCCCATTGCTGGTAGAATCCACAGGTTGCTGACACTCAAGATGCTCCAAGAACGAGAGGAGCGAAGAGAGATATCCTGTCTGTCATGACTGACAAAGCTCAGTATTTATGCATTTCACTGATTGCCTGTTAATTATCCAGGAGGATTGCCTTGCTATAGTTCCCTCGCACGACCAACATTCTCGAAGATATGTTCTTCCCAGTCGTTTATGACTGCGGCAAACATGAACTCGTTGGAGTTTGACACGCTGTCGGCGGACCTTGCGGGGGCACTGCCTGATGTGTTTGGGACGTACGGAATCTACGGCTTATATGCAGGGGTGGGCGTCCTCGTTTGGCTCGTGAGCTACCTCGTTGTGATCTCGCTGGAAATCCGCCCGTTGGCCGCGCACGAAGGCCTTGTGTCCAGCCAACCTGACACCGTGTCCCGTATCATGAGCATCTCGTCGCTGTTTTTTGCGCTTCTGTGCGTGCTAACGCCACCCGTGGACGTTTACGTGGCCACAACCCATCATTTGAACCAAGCCAAGGCGATCGGCACGTTTTACAACGTGCTGTTCGTCGTGCTGCTTCTGTACTCGTTCCTGCTCTCACCCTTTGCCTACTTTTACGCCAAGCAGAGCGAAATCCACCATATCACACGCTACTCCACGTCGCAGCGCGTCGCGAGCGCTCTCAAGCGCACGGCGTGTTTCCTCTGCTTCATGCTCATCCTCATTCTTGTCGTGTTGGTGATCGTGGTGGGCGGCAAGCCAAAGACAAGCGACATCGACTGGCTCAAGCCGCTTCTGGACCTCCAAACAGACGCCACTCTCACGCTGCATGTCTTCCTCGGCCTGATTTTGAGTATGGGCATGATTCTGTGGATCTGGCTCGGGTGTCGCGCGATGGCCACGGTGCCCGTCGACGGATTCCTCCGGCCACGGCACAACGATCGCGCCGCCCTGAGCTACCTCATGGAGGAAATCGAGCTGGAAGCGCACTCGATCGAGCGAGCGCGGCAAGCGGTCCTGCGCAAGTTCACGGTCACGGGCGTCATGTCCGACGTCGACCAGGCGCGGCTGGACGATCTCAAGAGCCGCGACCAAGTGCTACTGGAGCGCCGGCGGGTGTTTGCCAAACAGTCTAAAAAGTGGCTGTGCTGCACGTCACTGGTGTGGCGCCTCCCCATCGGCATCGTGCTCATGCTCGTGTCAATTCTCATCGTCGTGTCGCTCCTTCTCACGTCGATTGACCGCCTGCTCCACTCCACGTACAAGTCTGGTAACGTTAAACAAACCTACTCGTAGTCCCCTCCTCCAAATACGAACTAACACCATCCCCACAGGATTTGTTATCGACCACCCGTCCCTGCCCAACCCTATTGACATTGTCCTCGTCTTGGCTTCCCAGATCTTTCCGCTGGACTACGCCATCTTTGCCACGTGCTTCTTGTACATTTTCGTCGTGTCGTTTGTATGGCTAGGCCGTCGGGGGTTCCAGTTCCTCTGCTTCCGAATCGACCGTCTCCATCGACACCACACGTCGCCGTCTACGCTCGTGCTCACGACGTTGAGCATGGTGTACTTGGCCCTCGTCGGGCTCTTCTCCCTGCCGACCCTCGCGCCCCAGTACACTGCGTTTGGCCACCAGCAGTTTACGATCAACGGCACGACGCTTCCATGCTCGTTTAATGCGACAACAGTTGACACGACGTGCAAGGCGTCGCAACTGGCGCAGATCTACAACGGGTTTGCCGTCAGCGTACCCCTCGCTGGCACGGCGTTCGTGGTCGCGCAGGTCCTATGTGCCCTCGTGTTTGTGCCGTTTGTGATCCAAGCGTACTTGTTGACCGACGACCGGCCGACCGACGGCCCCGCCGACGACCCCAAGCGAGAAGCGTTGCTCAAGCGGTGAATATGTATCAGAAGTTAAAGGAGCGACACCTCAACCTGATGGACATCGAAGTTCGAATTCGAAAAGGACCTTTTTTCGAATTTGATCTAAACGAACCAATGAAACGTTGTGAAAATCGAAGTCCCAAGAGCAAGCAAGTCGCAATTGTTGAAAACAGTGCCGCCGTCGTAAATGAAGCTGGTGACGCAACTGGCAGGCATGACCGTGGCTGCCGCACTGATGGCGGCAGGCTCTCTCTGTATCAATGCGTCCAAGGTCGATGGGAAGATGCTGTACTCGAGCGCCACCGTTATGTTTCTCGTTGAAGTGCTCAAAGGACTTGTGTGTGTCGGCGTCGTCTGTGTAGCCCTTCCCCGACCTACGACGCTATGGATCGGGTGGCGCGAGACGCTGTACTTTGCAGCGCCCGCCCTTCTGTACACGATCGACAACAATCTCGTGTTCGTCATCCTCCGGTTTATTGACCCCGCTACGCTATCCATTCTGTGGAACCTCAAAATCTTCACCACGGCGGTGCTTTTCCGCGTCATCCTCCGGCGGTCCATCAGTCATCTGCAGGTCGTATCCCTCGTGCTGCTCATGCTTGGCGTCGCCACGACCCAATCCAAGCACAACATCCAACCGAGCATGCTTCAGCGCCACGGCAACGGCACCACGTCAGGTGCCACTTCCATCCCCACGACCAACCACTCGTTACATGACGATCCGTCAAAAGCCCTCATGGGAATGGGTCTCGTGTCTATCGCATGCCTGATCTCGTCGTTCGCGGGGATCGCGACGGAGTACGCGTTGAAGAAGAACCCCGGCACGCCGTTCGTGCTCCAGAATATCTACCTCGCGGGCTTCTCCATGGCGTTCAACGGCCTTGCCGCCATCGCCCAACTCGACTCGGCAAACGACTTCTTCACCGGGTACAACACATGGACATGGGTCGTCATGGTGATCCAAGTCGCGGCGGGGTTGTGCATGGGCCTCATCCTCAAGTTCCTCGACAACATCGCATGCGTGTTCAGCCATGCCATGGGGATGCTCTTCACGACACTCGTCTCGATCGTCTTCTTCTCGTTCGATCCGTCCCTGGAATTTGCATGCGGACTGAGCGTATGCATCGTCTCCATCTACCTCTATCACGTGCCGTCCGCAGGAACTGACCCGGCGCCCTGTCATGGAGAACGAGACAACCCTACTGCCGCCATCGAAGAGTATCAAAAGGTCGCCAGGATGAGTCCCATTGCTGTGGATATGGCTCCCCAAAGTCCAAGTGAGACCCAAGACGACGAAGACGACGAAGACCTCGCTATCAAAACGTCTGCTTGACACCGGTTCATGATGGTAGTCTCATGCAGTCATAGAACGCTAGGAATCAACATCTCCATGTAACATGTGAACGTATCGAAGGTCCTTGGAAGTGTGGCAAGGCGGACGCCCGTCCATGTGGTAATGAGGTTGACAAAGCAACACGCAATAATATAATGCAGTGGCATTTGATATTTGTATGTCAATTTCCTGTTTCGAATTAAAGTATTCTACAACCGTCCGTCGATCTTGGATTCCATATTTGACGTTTTTCGCGATGTCGACGCCAGACTCTACCGTGTCGGACGACTTGTACGTCTTGTTGGAAGTCGAACGAACGGCGTCGGAGGCAGATATCAAGGCAAGCTACAGGAAACTGGCGCTCAAGTTCCATCCTGATCGCAACCGCGGCGTTCCCGGTGCCGCAGAACATTTCAAAAAGCTAGCGACTGCCTATGCAGTGTTGTCTGACCCGAACCAACGTCGTTTCTACGACCTTTCATGCAAGGACGGTTCTGGCGGGAGTGTCGCTGGGCTTCACGGCATGCAGCCCATCGACGTGAACGAAATGAACGGGTTTGGCCGCATGTTGGGGTGCGTGCTTGTGATCTCAGCTCATTTCCAGCTCTCCCTCGCTTATGTATGCATGTATGCTGTAGTGCGCTGTGCTCGAAGATTGGCATTCCTTTGCCCACTCAGATCAGCCAGAATGTCCTCATGGCTGCCCGGGGTACATGCCCCCATCACAGCCCCTTCCGTAACAACCTCATCCTCATGCTTGTTCCTGTAGACCTACAAACTGGCATGGGTGGAACGAACGTCAAGGACCTTCCCGTGGGCATGGAGATGTCTGGGAAAGTGGACAAGCAGGAAGGCCACTTCTTCCGCGTCGCGATCACCGACCGCATGGTGGAATCGGGTTTCGTCATGACGTGCCGTTCCATCGCGAAGAACAAGTTCAAGCTCATCCTGTTCGACAAGGACGGGTCTGTCCGCAGCGTCCAAGAGAGCGACACCCGCGCCAAGCACACGTCGGCCGACATGTTTCTCACGCGACTGGAGCTTATGGACACGGACGACACATTCAAGTGCCTGTCCGAGCAAGAGCAGACGCTGCCCGAAGTCTTCCACCGCCTCAAGACCCTCGAGCGCATCCAGACGCCGGCGTTGGACGCGGGCACGCACCTTTTCTGCGTCTACGGGGACAACTGGTTCTCGGCGCTCCATTACGTCATCCAGTGCCTTCCCATCGAGCCCGACACGGTCGAGTCTATTCAGCACGTCGAGCAAGACCTCCTCCGCACGAAACTCGAGCTCGACGCGTACCAGGCCGAGTTCACAGCGGCACAAAAGGCGTTTGAAGCGGCTGTGGCCAAGGCGGACGGCCTCGATAAGCGCACAAAGGGGCTCATGGCTACGCGCCGCGCCGCGTACGACGATTTCTTGAGCGTCGCCGCCTTGCCGTACAAGGACATGAACAGAAAACCAGGCGCGCAGGACGAAGCTGCGGGCACGTTTGCCAGCATCTGGAACCGATTCAGTGTCCAGGCAGCCCCACCGCCGGGCGCGTGCAAGCGAGATGAGTTTTAAGTAGACACACATACAACTGTTTTGTCGGACACCCATCATGTACTGTACTGTATCCGTCCATGCGGCATCCCTTCTCGAGGCGGACCATACAACGAACATGTGAAACTGAAAGACCAACATTCACCGTAGCAAGTCAGCATACCAACATTCCTCCAACCAGGTGGATGTGGTACACTTTTGAAATCCGAATCATCATGAGAAACCAGGTCGACGACACGCGCAACAATTTGGACAAACGGTAGGATGGAGCGAGAGGAGTAGAAGGATTGGGTTGTCATGACGATCTTGACGGTGGATGCACAGGACGGCGCGGACGCGGCATGCCGAATGGTTCAAGAAAGGAATCAACCAACTTCGCACCGAGTACCTTGCGCGCGCGCCTGTGGATCCTCAGCCGTTCCTGCATGCGGTACAAGTGTTCGCTCGAATCCGCCCAATGTTGGAGCATGAAGTCAGACGAGGAGAGTACACGACGATTTCATGCGTGGGTCAAAGCACGGTGGCCGTCCACAATTGCCTCATGAAGCCAGGTACACGTCGTAGGGTCGACTAGTTCATGGATGCATTGTTGCTAGATATGGTGCACAAGTACATTGACACCCATGCGCATGAGTTCAGTCGAGTGTTTGACGAGTCCACGCCGACGTCGACCGTCTACGAAGTCGTCGCGCAGCCGCTCGTGCAGCATGTCCTTTCTGGTGGCGAGTCGGTCTGCATGATGTACGCTCCATCACTTATTATAGCGCATGGTCCAACACTGTAATTAGGTACGGGCAAACCGGGTCAGGGAAGACGCACACCATGACGGGGTTCCTTACCGACATGGGACGGGATCTCATGGCGCTGTCCTCGTCCATTGAAATGACGGCGGTGGAATTGGTCGGGTCCAAGTGTGTGGGTAAGCGAATGACACGTTTTCGCATGAAGAGTACGTCATGTTTCCCATGGTGTGATAGATTTGCTGCACGACCGCAAAAAGGTGCTCATCTGTGAATCCGAGGAAGACCAAACCATCCACTTGGTGCATTCCGCGTCCAAAGTCGCCACGTCCGTGCCGGAACTGCTCGCGCTGTTCCATGAAGCCGTGAGCCGCCGCGCCACCGAGTCGACGCAGGCAAACACAGTGTCGTCTCGGTCGCATTTGATTGTGTTTTTGAAACTCGTGGGCGCGGGCCCGCCCTCCGATGGCGGGCAGATGGTGCTCTTGGATCTCGCGGGCAGGTACTGTACGACTCCTCGTAACCAAAGTGTGTGAAAGCGCGCCAGTGTAATGTGTGAAAGCGACGACGACAACGAACCACTGTACTAGTGAGCGCAAGGAAGATCAATACACAAACGACAAGCAGCGCCAACAAGAAACGATTGAGACCAACATGAGCCACTTGGCACTCAAGCAATGCCTCTTGGCCAAAGAACAGAACGGACACGTGCCATATCGCAACAGCGCCCTCACGCGCATCCTCAAGAACAGCCTCTGGGCCACGCACAAGGCGTGTCAAGCGGCGATTGTCGTCACGGCGTCGCCGATTCCAGCCGGTCCGTGGCCTGTGTCCTTGTTGCACGCACACCGTTAACGTCATCTTATCGACGGTAGACACGGAGCACACGCTTTGCTCGTTGGTGAACGCCCGCCGAATGGTCGAAGTGAACCCGACGGTGGCGCAGTCGGTGCTGGAGATTGTCGAAACCAGCGACGCGAGGCAGGTCAAGCTGTTCAAGACGTTCTCCCACGTTGAAATCCAAGCGTGGCTGGGCCGAGTGTCCAAGGGGGCTCTTCAAGCGTACGTGGACAACATCAAACCAGCCATCACGGGCGCCGCCATGCTCCGGCTTCCTCCGGCACGGTACGATTGGCAATCGACGCCGTCCTAGTATCACTGGATGTGGTCATGTTGTAGACTTGCGCAACTGTGCAATGGACACACGGGCCACGCCAAGCTGCTCCAGCACGCGATCAAGGAAGTCATAGCCAAAGAGCAAGAGGACAAGGCGAGAGAGAGGGACATGCGGCGGGCTAATCACGCCAAAAAGTAGGACGGCCGACGACCCCCCATGCATGATGTATGCACACCTCGAGCACGATCCCCACCGGGGTTTCTATATATATTGCATGCCGTTGCGTTGTGTGTGAACCCATTCCGGGCTTGTTGACAGATATTAAAATACTCAAGGTCAAGCGCCGAATTCCGTGGCGTGTCTGTACTACTGTATGCATGCTGCAGATATGACGCGAGTCCATTGAAATGACTGGTGTGCCATCCAGCTCGTTGAACTGGCCAGCCACACCAGACTCACAAAGAGCGAGTATTGCTATCAGGTTGTATGCTACAGTATCAGCGGTGATCTGCTGCTGCCAACAACACCCCCCGTGTTAGGTAGCGTTTGAAGGAATCACCGCCTGGCTGGCCCATCGCACGACGTCCACCCGCTTCGTTTAGATGGGGATTATGATGACAGAACTGGGGTGGAGATGCCATGACGGGGTCTACTCTAGGGAGAATTTATTTCACTGATTTCAAATGTCGACTGGATTGCTCCGTCCGGATAATTTGAATATCGAGTTCGTTCTTCTGGCGATATTATTGGTTGCCACAACAGAACGAACGATGCGAAGCTACATCCGAGACGCGACTCGCCGCATCAATGACCCCGGCATGGGCCTTCCACGGCTCACGTACTCTGTGAACATGGACAAGATGTAAGACTTGCATACTTGCGTTGACGTTGTGCAAATCCAGCATGAAGGACCTCTCCACGATGAATGTAGCGGTGAAGACTTGCGATCCAAGTTTATCGAGTTCGACTGCGACGACGAAACCCAGCAGTTTCTTGACGTACGTTCGTTGATATGCGTCTTGCCATAAGATGTATACCTGACGAGATGTAGAGCTGCTTCGACACGGGCGTGTACCACATGATCACATCGATGCTGTCGACAGTTCTGAACGTGTTTTATTCCGTCACGGACACCAACGGCATGCTCAATCGTACGTTGCCTGGTGGTATTCTATCACATGGAGCCAACCAAGACACGCGTGTATGTAGGGGGGCAAATGTTCGTCTTCTCCCACGCCCAAGCCGCGCGTCTGTTGAACTTCCCCGATGGACGCTGCGGCGGTGTGTAATGAATCCCCAACACCTTTCATCACCCTCAATAGGAAAGCTCTTGGACATTGGGGCTGGCGACGGCAACGTCACGGCCAAGCTTGCCACCTTTGTCGACACGGTGTACGCCACGGAAGTATCGATGCCGATGGTGCGCGCACTCAACGCCAAAGGCTTCAAGTAGGGCAAGACAAATATATATTTCCATATATATGACGTCGATATGTATTGATTTCATTTGCAGCGCGACCCACACCACCGATTTAACCCATCCCGACATTGTGGCCCATGGCCCGTACGATTTCATCAGGTATACATGCATACAGCAGCACTTCCACTGGAGATTTACAATATATATATATAACAATATGGATAGTTTGCTCAATGTACTCGACCGAGCCGACACTCCATTGACTCTGCTGCGTCAGATTCACTCCTTGCTGACCCCGAATGTACGGGAGTAGTAGTCCCATATACCGAGATCTCAACCTTGTACCTTTGTAGGGCGTGGTATTGATCGCAGTCGTGTTGCCCTTTTCTGCCTTGTACGAATAATGATGTAGCTGTTTGTGAATGCAAGGAATGCATGATCGAATGTGTAGTGTCGAAGTCGGGACCCAGAAGTTGCCGCCAACAGAAATGCTGCCCATGAAGGGAGGATTGTGTGCAGATCGCGACTGTTTTGAGGACGCCGCGCGCATCATGGCCACAATGGTACGTTGTTATTGGCCCTCCTCAAAACTATTCGCATGATGCTCTCATGTCCAAGGTGTTTGGGTCCAGTGGATTTGACGTCCGCGCGTTCAGTCGCGTGCCGTACCTGTGTCGAGGCGATATCTCACAGCCGTACTACGTACTGCACGACGCATTGTTTACCCTCAAGAAATCCTCAAGTGACTTTTGAAATTAAATACAACACAACCAGAGTGCGCAGTTGTGTGCTTGATATGATCAGCACCATCACCACCACCACTGAGCGACGAGGTCGACACTGCAGCAGCCTCTAATCTCTACCGTACTTGCTCTGGCTGGTTGTGGCCCAGCATGGTACTGTAGTACTAGAGCGATAAAGGGAAGAAACCTAACTAGTAATAATGGTCACATAAATACTAAACATTTACAATTGACACGGAGTGATTTTTTAAGCCAGCAATGCACCAAGAGCAAGTTGTTGACTCATATTTGTGGGGAAGCCACTGGAAGTCGGGGATCCGAACGAGTCGACTCTGCAGTTGGTGCTTCGCCTTGATGGAGGTTGCAAATTGTGTTGACAGGACTAATTGTAAGGTGATTCATGTAATTTCCGCCCAGCTCGGCCAACTTTCATGGTTCCATTACTCATCACCCATGCACTCGATCCATCTGCAAAGATATGCATTGGAAAGACCAGGAAAAGCTCTATTACCTTATGCAGGTCCAACTATTCCACTGTAATCCCAATTTGATCCATGAATTTCTAAAAACTGAGATTTCCCTGTGTAAATGTAATTTCCGCCCAGTAATTCACTTGGATTTTGTACGGCAATTTTGCAGTACTTGCATCAGCAGAAATTCTCATAACCTCTGAAGTATAATTAATATACAGTTCTACAAGTAATTAAATTCAAAAGTAGTGCAGAAATAACGTCCATGGAACTTGTCACAGAACGTTAATCACAAAAAAAGCATCACTTTATAAGGTAATTGAATAACAAAACGTGAACCAAACTTAACATTTAGGAAGCAGGAGCAATCACTTTTTGATTAAAACCATAAGTCAATTATACAAGGTAAGTAAGTACACATCAAGTTGATTCACAATTCGATTATGAGTTAACTCACAATTCCATTATGTAATCATATTCGCTAACATCAACAGGCATTGTCGCCTTCGCTTGGCGAACTACACCTTTTTCTTTGCCTTTCGTCTTTGGCCTCTTAGCAACACGCTGAGCATCCTCACGAGTAACAATTCCAATCAGTGAAATTCGCTTGGCTGGGGCCTTCTTCACCGGTGCTGGAGGCAACAACAAGTGCGTTTCGGGGGCCTCAGCTTGGGTTTCTTCCATGCACTTCAACCAACTTGCTTGGGCATGTGCTGACTTTATCCCGCCACGTTTGAAAGCACCGAGTCGCGTAACATAGTTTCGAGGTTGGGAGGGAAGATTCCAGTGGCAGCAAACGCTCTCACGCACAAGTCTGATCGCATCGACACAGCCCACGTCTTGCATGCAAGTTCGATTGCGTCCCGCTTTGAAATCGTACGGCTTGGATTCGTCTAAACAAATTGCCGAATTTCGGCTCGGATGTTTCGTTTCAGTGGGCGAAACACACCAACGTCCAAGGGCTGGAACAAGTGCGTCGAGTTTGGAGGCAGTAGGAACAAAATGATGCCGAGCTTCTGGGCCTGGTCCACAATGTCAACGGAGTAGTGCGATGCGCAGCCATCATAAACGAGGAGCACGGGCTTTGTGACGTCGCCGGTTGCCTTGGAAAACATCTTAAGCCACGCCAGAAATAGACCGCTGTTCATAAACCCGGATGACGTCGAGGCCAGGGCCGCGTGCTCCACCGTGAGGACTTCAAATGCATCCTCCAGTACTGAAGCACCAGGAAGCACGAACAAGGGAGGGGAGACAGTGCCGTTAGCTCCAATACATCCAACAATGGTCATGTGGAAGTTGAGACTTGCTTCCTGCGACCACACGTTCGTCGAGCCGACTTGGGCAATCACCTTGTTAGCATGGCGCTTTGGTGCAAAACCGGTTTCGTCCATATTGTAGACACGGGCAGCATCGTTTCCAACCAATACTATTGCTGCCTTGATCTTAGCGTACAGTGCGTCGACATCGTCATCGGTGACGAAGTTCCGTGCGTTCGAGATGCTTTGGGACTTGCGATGTGTGAGGTCGTGGCTACGTTTCATGAAGCCATCGTACCATCCACGTGTCAATGTGGCGCCTGGAGTAAAACCGTCGATAATCTTGGTGGCCCCTTCGATCAACTCGTCGGCAGTCACCGGCATTCTTCTGGCTTGCATTGCCAGGGCCCACTCCCTGAGATCGCTCTCCATGTCGACCGTAAGCGCCAGCTTTCGACCACGCTGCTTCATCTCGTCGCCAGATCGTGCTCGGCGGACGGCTTCTTTCAACGTGGTTTGTGGGATCTTGGCATCGTTGGCGATGGAGTTTACGCTCTGTCCATTCTCTCTATCCAACGCTTGGTCCAATGCAGCGGCAAATTGGTCTCGTGAATAGAGTTTCATTTCGCAAGTGGCGCAATTTTGAGTCGAGCGGGAAATAAACCTTGGAAACATTGTAAGTTTGATATATTTAATGTTATGAGTATTTGATAGAAGAGGAATTAGTTTTGTCCAATCAATTTCACTTGATGATTGTGATTGGCTGTCAACTGGGCGGAAATTACATGGTGGGCGGAAATTACATGAATCACCTTAATCCTTAATGCAAAGTGATTTCTTGTGTCAATGTGTACCATGGGCATCGGTTGTTTGTATGCCAGTCCGGCATTGCAAAGCACGAGTTCGAATGCAATTGTGATTACCCTGGCAAACTCATAAGAAGCATAAATATTGATGATATTAAGGTCAAATAACTAAATAGGACACTCAAGTGCTTCAAGGCAGCAATGCACCATGCATGTTGATGGCGCATTGCATGAGCGGCATGAGATGCGATTCGCACAACATCTTGTACGACCAGTCCAAGCCTCGCACGAACATCCGCTTCGAGTTATGCAGCCAGTCACTGCCGACAACTTCGTCCCGCCATGAGCTCTGAATGCCGTGCATCGTGAATGCCACGGAGAACGGCGCGTCGTCGTCCTCGTCGATGACGGAGCTGACACTCAACCGCTCACCTTGGTTGCAATGGTCTTCGTTGTCATGTGGCCACGAGTCTTGTGGAGTTTCCAGCATGCTGGAGAAGTCGATAGCCTCGAGGGCGGCAATGAGCTCGTCAATGCTTTGGGTTGGTGTAGGCATCAAGTTGATGACGTCCTCCAGGTCACCCCACTG